TCTGATTAACACGAAAACGCATTAGTGGAGCAAAAAAAAAAGATCAGAATGATTTATTCTCTACCTCTTCTTTCCCCAAGTTACGCAGTTAAGCAGTGACGTCATATTTTACGGAAGTGACGTCACGTATATGACTTCTCTTTTCATTCTTCCAGACAACGAGTGCCTGAATGCTAACGGCTATGACGTGAAGTTAATCAGGAGTGATGTACAGGTCACCTATCCCCTGTTTGTGGACACCGCTGGGAGTTCAGCTGCCTCCATCAGTGTCACTTACAGGTAAGTGCTCCCGTCAGAGTTTATAGTATATACCGGTTGTGACGAAACTGAGGGATCATGTGGCAGAGAGTCCATCCTCCATTTCATTGTACAGATCAGGGTAAGCCTGACGTAAGTGGTTCAAGATGTAGGGAGAGGCTTATCTGTGTAAATTAATGGAATCGGACTTTTTCTTAACTCAAGGTGGGGTAGACTATTTGGCTTTGAAATATCCTGGCAGGTTTTCATGTCAAAATTTAAAAAAATTAAAATGGATAATAATAATAATAAGTACTATCAAATTGATAAAAAAACATTAATAAATAAATATAGATTAATTAAGAAAAAACAGAAATATAGTAAAAGAAATAGGAAGAAAAAAGCAGATAATATAGTAATCATTGGTGTGTATTCTAGGGGTTTGGAGACTATGTTGCCGGGCGACTACTCCTTTAGTGTCACCGGCTGTGACGGCACCAAGTTTCAGTGTGTTGGAAGACCTTGCACAGTTGAAGTGAGTCTTTAAAGGGAAACTCCATAGGGTTTTCTCGCCAAATGGATTTTTACCGGGAAAATAGTGATTTTTTTGTACTCACGAACCATATACAGTATCTTTTCCTTTCTGAACTTGAATTTGACCTTTGATTAATTTTTTGATTTAGTTTAAAATGACTGGTCAGTAATTAAAACCAGCGGCCATCTTCCTTTATACTTCTTTGTAAATATCAACATCAAGCACTTTCCAGAAAAAAATAGTTAAGTGGTATACTCATTCCTAAGTTGTATGAAAAGTTTTATTAGAAGCTGTGGAGTGAAAAAAAAATGTGATATTTTCACGTGCAGTCGAATTGGGGATCTTGGTTTCAGAAGGATAAACTAAAATTTGGCCTATATTTATATATACGTACTGGTAGTTGACAAACAGGACATATAGCTTAAGACGTCATCAACACTGCTGATAAAGCATCCAAAAATTTCGTCATATGATTATACAAGAATACTATGTAATTGAAGGTTCTGCAGAGAATTTTTAAATTAATGCTAAATCTTTTCCATTCCTTTTAGATTGATGATTGGGCAACTCCAAACATCGATAAATTGAATGCTACGACAGGACCACCTGGTGAGTCTCTCTCTCTTTCTTCTGCTCGCATGCACATACACATACACACACACACAGAAGGATAAACACACACACTTTCTCTCTCTCCCTCTCTCTCTCCTGCACACACACACACACACACAACACACACACACACTCTCTCTCTCTCTCTCTCTCTCTCTCTCTCTCACACACACACACACACACACACACACACACACACACACTTTCGGGCTTTTCCCTATTGTTCATCATTATTAAACATTTCATTTTCAGGCATGTTGTTGGAGATATGTGGAACAGTGAGGACCAATAGCAGTGGAAGTAGCAATATCGAAGGAGATGGCAACCCAGTATTGAGAAAGTAAGAAAAGTTGAAATAACCCAAGTTAAAATATAACCCAAAAGTATCAGTTTTAACTTAGCCTTCATAAATGTTCACAATTATTTGTCCAGGCTAAAAAGTTCTGAAAGCCAAATATTTTCTCGTTCATTTTTAGCTGGCTGTACGTTCAGGTGTCCGTAGTAATATGCCTACATACATCATCAAGAATGTATGATCCAATATTCTTGTTGTAGAAAAAAAAATGATTGTTCAGGATTCAATTGTATGGTCTGGCTGCCATGTTGAAAGTTGCATCATTTCCATGGTAACTGGTGCAACATAGTCTTAAGTCTGTTGTATATGCGTGTTTGGCGTACAATAAAACAAGTGGCTGTGTTGGAAAACTAATGTAAAGAACAGATAAAATATTAAACAAAGAAAACAGTTTAACCATTGTTATGGTTAGGTTTACTCTTTTTATGATCACTGCTTTTTATTGGAAACCTGTTTTATAATCATACACAGAGGTATAAATAATTTGTATTGTGCTCAAGTGAAATGATCAATTTTAGGGTAACTACATTAATGTATCATGCTAATTTTGAATATAATGATTTTATACATATTTTGATTGTGAGTTTATTTTTTTATTTTTATCAGTGCAACACTGAGTTCAGATGACACTTGTGAGTTGGTGGACCCGGCAACAACTGAAGCGTAAGATGAAATATTTTTAAGATTAAAGGGATAATAACTCTTCGTATGAGATCTATATTTCACAATAAAAACAATGTGAATATCTCATAGAAATATAATATATTCTGTTTTACCACAAAAAGGGCAGTTATAACTATTATTCTGATATCTGAGCTTGTGATATCTGAGCTAGACCACGTGACCTCCATTGATGGCTATACTCTGTTAAAATCTCTTAAGAGATTTTAACAAAAAACCGAACTTTTTGGAAAAAACCAGGAACTAACTTTGAATGTAAAAATGGATTCATTAACCATTGGTAAGAATGGGAAAATTGTTGTTTACTCCAGGAAAATTCATTTTTTGACCGAAACGAAGAGTTATTATCCCTTTAATCCTAAGACTTAATAGTAACAGCTGGCCTTGCATGTGTACAAGATGTGCCAAGTAGAAGTGAAGAAACCACACAGCCAAGAGTAAACCAGCTTGGTGTTAAAAGTATTGTTTTAACTGCATAGTTGGCTGAAAGAAAAATTTATTTACATTTTCAAATAATAAGAATGAGAACAAAAATTTTGATGAGAAGATGAAAAAGAAGAAAGACGATGAAATGAAAACTTAATGATAATATCAATATAGAATGAAATTAAAAACAATTTTTCTGTTAAATGGAAGATATTTGTTCAAAAACTAAATTAATTATAACCAGTTATATTTTTTATCTGACAAATACAGGTATGGCTTAAATGTCAATGAAGATGATTATGGCTGCTTCAAATGTAAGATGCAGGGAGGTTACATTGGTAAGAACTTTTCTCTTTAGAAGCGCAATGGTTTAATTTATTGTGTCAAAAAAAGAAAAATAAAACATGATTGATTGTTCCAGGCCTTAAGGAGGGAGTGCTATTGATCTAATACCTTTTTATGGAGTATATCTTGTGACAATAATTAATCTAACTGTATGAAAAAAATTCCCTAATTTTTAAGTGATGTCATTAACTAGTCATTTAAATTTATAGGTTAATCTTATTAACTATTATCAAAAAGTGAGAGTGGTTATTATTGTTTTTGACAAAAATATGTTAGGACTCTCCAATGTTTGTTTAATGTATTAGATCAAAAATGGGCAGGTAAAAAATTTGTTTGGTAGTTAGTTTTGTCGGTGCTGCACTTACTGAATAAACCAAGAAAGAAAAGAAGAATGAGAATTTTTTTTTGCATTAAAAAAACCATTGTTAATTAAAAAACATTGTTCTTTTTAGGGGATTTAAGGGTCATGTACTATGTCTCTATCTATGGAAAGTAAGTTGTAAAAATCTGAAGTTTACCTTTATATTTATTTGCAACAAGAGAGTCCAAGAAGATTCACTAATTTATACAACATTTATTATTAGAGTTGTAAATTGTCATTACAAAATAGCAGGAATTAACTGTATAAATATGTTTTCAAGAATTTCAAGTGACTTTTTTTCATTTTGTAATAAATGTGAAAAATAAAATAAAATAAACTTGCTTGAGCCAAAATATATATATATATATATATATATATATATATATATATATATATATATATATATATATATATATATATATATATGTCACAAATGATAAAAATATTTTTGTTTTAGTTCATACACAGCACCTAACTTAATCAAGGTGTCAGGAAGTGATAACCTGTATTTGATTCAAACATACGCAGGTAAATCTTTTAGCCAGAATGTGTGTTTTTGTGGGTGTTGGTATGTACAAATGTACCAGAATTAGTTATTTTGTTTTCTGTCTGTGTGTGTGTGTGTGTGTGTGTGTGTGTGTGTGCACATGAACATGTACGATAATGGCTTGATCATTTCAATCAGGAAAAATTATCAAATTTTCAGATACATAATTTTTGAATCATTAAAAAACACATTTCTGTGTAGCATTTTGGTGCTTTACAGTAAAGAATAGTACTATAAGGTAGTTTGCTTTTCAGTTGTGTTATTACCACTCTATAGAAATATTCCAATTTTTTGAATGTATTACTTAATAACTACAGTATCTTTAAATTCACAATTCTCCCAGTCGAAATGAACCACCCATCACTATATAGTTCAGTTTTTTAAATAATTGATTTCTTAAAATTTTAAACCAACTATACATCACTGAACACTTTATTCTCAGTCATCCGGAACCTGTCAGCCAACACGGGGAGCACTGAGGGAGGACTGTACCTTCGGGTGGATGGTGACTACCTGACTGGAGCAGGTGACACCCCACCCAGGATACAGATTGGAGGTGGGTCCTTACTGCAATTTTTCATTTAAATTAATGAAATTCATTTTGTGCTCGGTGATTTATTTTTAATTAAATTTTAGATTTTTATTAATTTTTTTCTGAAAATATGTTTATTAAGTGAGTGTTTATTAAGGCAAGTTTTTAATTTATTTTAATTGTGTAATAACCTTATGTTTAGTCTTGTAAAATGTGGCATAGACATACATTCAGTTCAGACAAAGAATAAAAGGAGGGTCCTTTTTTCATATGCCATTTTCTACTACATATGGATTACAGTAGTGTGTAATACAATAGATCACAGTTGATTCAGACTGGCCACAGGCATTCTCTTTACCCTTACTGTGGAGGAAACACATCAGTGATATGTAGCATTAAATTCAAGGCATGGGACCACCATCCAGATAAAATGTTTCCTTTGTACCAACTAGTTGACTTATCCAATTACTTACAAAATGGGTAGATTACAAGTACGGCATTATGGTGAGTCATGAGACAAAAAATGGGTATTTTTATTTAAGTGACATATGGTATATTTTTATCATGAGTTTCATTTATCTTTCAACATTCATCTTGATTGCAGATTCTCCCTGTGCCCAGTTGCTGTTTGGAAGTGGCAGTTTTCTCTGCGTGACACCCCCTGAACAGCCTCAAAGACCAGCTTACCCAGGTAAGGGGAAACTGCAGACTGCACAAGCTGGGATTGTGGGTGGGGGTGGGGCCAGGGGGTGAGGGTTGGGGCGGGTTCAGGGGGTTGGACAACAACCCTTTTGGATGGAAAAATTTGGTACTAATTCAAAATTTGATCTAGTTGTCCATTTCACCATTTCTCTACATGGGTCAACTAAAGGGTATAATTTCAATTTAAGAATAAAAAATAAAATAAGGAAAGAAATGAAAATAAAGAAATGATAAAAATCACACTGTTCAGCCTCCTGGTCATCTTTCTCAAACAGGGAGATCTCTGACATTTCATTCCGTGTCTGTTGACAATTAACAGTGACAATTAGTTCATGACAGCCTTTTCCTGATGCAGTTTATAAGACAAAGAGGAAACATTGGACCTATTACAAATTCCATATATAAGCATCTAATTTCTGTATTTGAAAGGGTGCGTACCCCCCACTTATACACACAGCATAATATTTGCTTCCTTTTGGAATTGATAATTATATGAAGTATCTTAGTCATGGCTAGGTCTCAGCAATATCAAAGAAAAAGATTAAAAAAAACTAATAATGTTCTTGTTTTACATAGTACTATAATCATGGCCTGAATCTTAACTTGACTCAGACTTATGGCATAACTTCGAACATTTATAAAGTTGGAATTGTAACAATAGACAGCAACTGTTACACATACTTTAATGTAATTAATTTTTCCCCAGGGAATCGTGGTCTAAATATGGAACACTGGAGTGGCAAATCCAATGGCGAGATCCACAATTCCAAAGAAGCAATCAACTTTACCACGACACCTGATAGTATTATCTGGACAGACGACTTTCAGTTTGAAGACGACACAGAAGGTATGATTGTTTACTTTTATTAACACACACACACACACGTGCGCGCATGCACACACAAACATGCACACACACACATACAGACACTCACATACCCAAGCACACACGTGCAGGCATTCATGTATGCTCACACATGAACATACACACGTATGTGTGTGCACACACACACACACACACACACACACACACACACACACACACACACACACACACACACACAGCATATATACATAATGAGCCACTAGCCACTTAATAATGAATAATGGTTCTGGCTAAAATTTTTGGATTGCATTTTCATGTGTATGGTATTACAAAATGGTATATGTTAGGCACATAAAAATAATTTTTAAAAGGTAAAAAGTTGACTCAATTCTCATCTCAGTTCACCTGAATGATATATTGAGCACCATTTTTTTCAGACAACTTCATCCGCCGCATCAAAGGCTTTTTCGTCCCACCAAAGACAGCAGGGTACACATTTTATCTCCGTGGAAATGACAAATCCTATCTCTGGCTCAGCACCTCCGCTGACCCTGCAGATGCAGTAAGTATACTGGGTAAAAAGCGTAAAAGAGCTGAAAAGTGGAACAGTACTATTTTTAGTGAGGTGTACTTTTAACATACCTGAATTTCAGAATTAAGTCACTGGAATTTCACCTCTCTTCTATCAAAATTTCTTTTCCATGTCCAGTATTTCCATAACTTGTTGTCTGTATAGTTACACTGTATGACTGTTAAGAACTAGAAAATTGCGCAAAACACTGGTATCTTGGAAATTTCAAATTTTGATCATCATGACAAAAAAAAAAAGAAGGAAGAACATACTATCAGTTTAAGGCATACAGGAAGGTGATTTGCAAAATTCAAAATTAGATGACGTCTTCCTGATTGGTTCTAGGTTCTGATTGCATCTTGTGAAGGAGGGGCCAAGGGATATGACACCTACCCTACCCAAGTGTCCAGCGAGGTCACCTTAGAGGCTGGACAGTCGTAAGTGCATTGAGTATTTTGCTGGAGAAGTTATTAACTTTTTTTGTGTTCTCGGCCTCTGAAAGCCTTTTTACTTTGATTAGATCATGACCAAACGCACACAAAAGCATTCACGCCCTAGGTAGCTGTTTTTTGAGAAGGTGTGTCATTCACTTAATCTGATTGTATTCAGCGAGATTTGGAACAATCTAGGCAGAATGATAGTTTCATTTGGGAATGTGCCCTTAGTACTGTCAGACCCAAAATTTTAATTATTAGTCATTACAAAATTCTTATCTGAAATTAGCTTTCACACAATGTACTTATTTATTTGATCTTAAACAATGTAGATGTGAAACATGAATATACATGTATTGAAATGTATATATACTCAGGATAGAAAAAAAGGAAGAAAATAATTCTTGGCAACTGAAAACTAGGTGGTGTCGGTTCCATTACTTTATTAGGGCTTAGTTATATGTATGATTCAGAAATTCAACAGATGTTGAGAATGCAAACTAAATATGTACTGCTATTTGTATGACTAAAAATGGTAGAAATATACCTAAACTACTGAATTTAATATAGCTCAGACCTCTTCTCTTGCCCCCATAGTTCATGATAACACACTTGGCATGGTAACTACTGGTATGGCTTCTGTATGTTATAGGTACTACATAGCAGCGGTAGTTGGAGAATACTCTAAATTGGCAAGACTGAGAGTGGCTGTCAGGATGAATATGTCAAGTCACACTGATGAGGAAACCTTCCAGGCCCTGCAAGAAAAACAGACCTTCCAACTGAGGTCTGCACATGAACCTGAGAAACAGGTAGTTTCAGTCTCTCTCACTCTCTGTGCGTGCGTGCAAGCATGTGACGTGTGTGTGTGTGTGTGACTGTATATATTTGTTAGAGTGTCAACATCTGTGAAAATGTATATACGTATATGAAAATCTTTGTTGAAATCAGGAGTTGCTAATTCTGTGTACAAAGAGGGTAAATATTTTCTACAAGAAACCTCGACCTCACACTGACTGATCACATTATTACATTAGATTTTACAAAAAAAAATTACTTAAGATAATCATTATTGATGTATTTAAATTTTATCTTTGTGTCAGGTTGTCACCGTAGGGAGTTGGTCAGCTGGGTCAGCCACACCAGAAGTCCAGAGGGTTGTAGTGGATCCAGCCCAGCCATTCCATCTCTGCTTTAGAGGTGTCTGCACCAGTAAGTGGGTCTGGATATATAATACCACAGGAAATCCAATTTTGAAATTATTATTTTTGTGTTGTGTGTAGATCTAACACTATTTGATTTGTCAGTGGAAGTTATTTATAAATATTACACGGGTATCATGAGAAATTTAACTGAACTATTTAAACCAACAAAAGGCTGATTGCATGGAAAATTTTACTCAAGTCAAAAGTTATAGTAATGACTTGATCCCTTTAGTAGTGGACTATTACTGAATTACTTTGGACCAAAATAGATATTGATTACCAGTCTTACCTGTCTGAATTTAAGAGCAGGTTTTGATATAAGTTATTTTAACAAACCCAGAATTCTATAGTTCTCAGTCAAGTTAAATAAGTCAGTTGGGTGAGATGACAGTCTGTAACTGATTCTAGTTTATGTCACACAGGGTAGCAGAAAAAAAGAAATAAAAGTCAGTGGTGGTGAATATTAGTTAAATGCTTGTATGAGAACATTGCAAAATATGTTTAATTTGAAACATTGTTCCACTTCAGCCCAGTTGGATTTGAGCAGTGGAACTTCGGCAACAGTGATCGCAAACCAGCTGAATAAGCTCCCAAGTATCAAACCTAGTGCTGTGTCTGTGGCGTCCTCCACTGCCGGCACCTTTGACGTCACCTTCCCTGGAGACCAAGGTATAAGGAATGACATTATATTTGACACTGGGAATTTGATATGGTGATGACAGGCCTGTGGTCAGCCATTTCAAATGGGGGAGGGGAGGGGGAGGGGGGGTCTTTTTCTAAATGGTGAATCATTTACTTAGATAAACTTTACCCATTTTCCAACAAAAAGGGTATTTCATTTGAACCCCCATCCCCCAGGCTACAAGTCTGATACTGAATGTCAATCTCTAGATGGTCATGACTTACTAAGTTATCGTTTGTTATATAAATAGTGATATTATTAACTTTCATATTTTACAGGCCCGTAGCCAGGGGGGTTAGGGGTTCGAAAGAACTGCCCCTTTAGCTGGGAAAAGGTCCACTCTGGGTAAAATTTGATCTAGGTTCATGAAGTATTTATGGGAAAAGGTCCACTTTTTCAGAAAAAGAACCCCCTTTTTGAAATTGCCGGCTATGGGCCTGTTTTAGATATAATTTTTTCTCAAAAAAAGCTCCCAGTTATCAGTCCATGTATCAGTCAAGTTAAGGATGTGACAGGTGTGTTGAAATAAGTATATTACGTTTGTTTACCTCCTCTAGGTGACGTTGATGACCTGGAGGTACGAGACCCTCAAGGTCAGAGTGTTCAAGGTGCCACCATCACAGAAACCACTTCTGGTGTTGCCTCCTATGACAAACTGTACTTCAAGATGGAAGATGTCTACTCTCCACCAATAAATTATGATGCATCGGCTGCACAGGCAAGTTTATTTATTTATTTATTTATTTATTTATTTATTTATTTATTTATTTATGTTTGTTTGTTTGTTTGTTTATCAGCTAGTTTTATTTGTTAATTTATTTGCTTGCTTTCCACTTTGTATGTTCATATACTTATATAGTAAACGTATAGTGGTTTAATTTCTCAACTTGTAATTCAGATTCAGTCGGCTCTGCAAGAGATGTTCAGTGTACGATGTCACCCAGCACTGACCAATGGAAACCCCCTGTTCAGTAATGATTACGAATCTGATCCCAATGCTTGGGCCATGGATGAACCTTTCTGTGGACGCTACAGTGGCAAAAATGTCAACAACCTCGTCAGTTCTCAAAACATCCTTCTCAGTCCTTCCAACATGTTTGTAAGTTCTACTTTTAAAATTCATATCTAATTCAAAAGAATAATTTCATTTGAAGTGCAAGGAAGATTTAGTGTACAGAAATTAAAAACATGACAAATTTTTCCTGTTTGCGATTTTCAAAAAAAAAAAAAAAAAAAAAAAAAAAAAAGAAATCTTAACACAAACTCTGCATGATAAAAATTTGACAATATCTCAGACATACTTATTACATGATATTCTCCTTTTTTAAAGTCTCTACATTGTGTAAATAAACCTCGAGTGATTTTTCTGTTCTTTAATTTCAGCTGTGCTTTGCTCACAGGGGAGTGGTAGCAGCTGGCGCGGTCACTCTCACCATCCAATACTCCTTCACCTCTGGAAGACAGTTGGTCACAAAATCCCATGCACAGACTGTGGGGAACATAGAATGGGATGAGAGGTAAGAACATGGCTAGGCTGACTCTTTGGCCATTTCTCTGTAAATTTGCATACATACCTGACTCCACCTTACCTTAATTCCACCCTCTTAATTCTTCCTCTATCCCACCTCAACCTCTCTCCGCTCCTTCTTTCTCTCCCTCCTCTCTTTTCTTCCTCCCTCCACAAGTATGGGTGAAACAGTCTGAATCTGCAAGTTCAGATCACAAATGATCTTACATTGTCTTAATCAATGAGTAGGATTATTGTTGGATAATGTTTCCAGTTATGTTTTTAGCTATTGTCCGCCCCCCCACCCCACACATTACAGGGGCGGATTTAGGCCGTCTTCTGGGTCTTCCGGAAGACGGTCAGATTTTCAAGTTTACATTGAAGGGTATCTAATTTTTTCTGTCGGAAGACGGTCAAAAATGGAAAATGGATAACCAAATATAATATGGAAGACTGTCAGGAAATATTTCTGGATCCGCCCCTGCATTATATAATTGCTTGATCACTTAACGTAAGTCAACCCAATCATAGCCAATGATAACTCATCCAGGTAAAGATCATCTGTGATCTGTAATTGCAGATTAAGACCATTTTAGGGGCACTTGTTCTCTCTCTCTCTTCTCTATCTTTTCTACCTTCCTTCCTGTAGTCACTCATTTATGCCGCATTTATCCCATAATTCATGTACTATCTAGTTATTCCTTAATCTACCCACCTGGTTATTTCTTCTACATCATTCCAGATGGCGCTACGACTGCCATGACGTGAAGGCCGCGCTGCCAAGCATAGCCGAAAAACTGAAATCTATTGCTGTCTCATCCACCACCTCTCTGGAGGAGGTCTTCTTTGATCAGGTCACGCTGGAGACATCCTCAAGAGCTGCTGGCATTAGTGGAGGTATGTGTGTGTGTGCGTGCATGCATGCGTGCATGTGCGTGTGTGTGTGTGTGCATTTTCAAAGTTCGTGGATCAGCTTGTTTCTGAACTAAATTGGCAGTCTGAAATATTTAAAAAATAAAAAGAAGGTAGCAAACAGCTTCTTTGAATGATTATTTTTGCAAGGAGCACGATAGATATTTGGCTAAATAAACGTGTTATTTTGAACCATATGCAATGTAACTATGATTTTTAACAATGTTTGCTTATAGTTGTACAACATTTAGCATTTTCATATATTCCTTTTTCAGATGTCAACCTTCTTAGGCTTCTTCCCCCACGTTCTAGCCAGTTCATGATGGCAAATGTGGAAGTTTCTGGGTCATTCAGCAGCTTCAGCGTCAGCATGATGCCATACAACTGTGAAGACAACTTCCCTCTGTTGCAAATCCATGGGCTACCAGTATGTATACGCATCTCCAACTGGACTGTCATATACTGTCACACTACACTGTCACAACTAAATGTATCACAAAGTCTGAGACTTAATTGTCATATGGTTATACCTGTCAAGAAGAAGTCACATTTGACACATAAAGCAAATCGAATAGATTCTCAGCTAGATCAATCAAGTGACCAAAGGTAATTAATATTAATGAAGGTAGAATTATGTTAAGAACATTATAAGCAATCAAGATATTGGCACTTGGATCATGACAAACTTCATTTCAGGTTTCGGGAAAGACCTTGTCAGTAACACAAGCACAGAGTGCGTCACCGAGGATTACGGGAGAATTCACTGTATCCCTTGGTGAAAGTTCAGTCCAAGGTGAGTGTGACGTTGGGTAACATCACGAATTGTGATATATTAAAGTTTGCTGATTTGTGAATTTGTCACTTAAATTAATCAATAAGATCAAATACAAAAAATTAAATTAGGTTGATGATTGAATATTTGTCTGATTGTTCGGCTGTTTGACTGGTCAATTGATTGGTTGATTAATGATTCAATATGGTTATTTTCAGTGCCAGTAAATGCAACAGCTACCAAGTTTCGAGAGAGACTGGAGACGTTGGAAGGCATTGGAACTGTGAGCGTGCGAAGAGAAAACCTCTGTCACAACTACACATGGATTGTGGACTGGGAGTCTGCTGGAAATATTCCATTACTGAACGTAAGGGAAAAAATTACTTATAATTGCCCAGTTCAGAAGAAAGATATTAGATGACAAAGAGTTCATGGTATAGTTCATGGACTATATATATATATATACCAGTAGCCAAACACTTTTTAATCACTTTAATTGATATTGGTTTAAATTTTCATGAATTAAGAAAAAACTCGATAGAAACAAAAGCGTATTTGAATGAAATCATCAAGCAATTTGATGGTTCATTGAATCACTGTAGGTTGACTACTCTGGGTTGCTACCAGCTAACGCTGCTAATGTCACAGCCTCGGAAGAAAATGGCGGCACCTTCTTTGACCCAATTCCTGGCGATTTGTTGAGGACTTACCACACGGAGCAACAGCTGCAGGCAACCATCAATAATGTTCCTGTCCATTGCCAAGGCGACTGCACATACAGGAGTAGCTCGGCACAGACGCCTTCTATCACTGGGACGTCACCTTCTCTGGGTAAGCTGGTTTGTACTGTACGCTGACTTGTGTTCCTCATGTCATGTCATGTCATGTCATGTCATATAATATTACATCATATCAGGTCAGGCCATGTCATGTCAGTTTAGGTTAGGTCAGGTCTATCACTGGGACATCACCTTCTCTGGGTAAGCTGGGTTGTACTGTACGCTGACTGGTGTTCCTCATGTCAGGTCATGGGTTTTACTATATGCTAACTGGCGTTCCTCATGCCATGTCATGTCATGTCATATAATATTACATCATATCAGGTCAGGCCATGTCATGTCAGTTTAGGTTAGGTCAGGTCTATCACTGGGACATCACCTTCTCTGGGTAAGCTGGGTTGTACTGTATGCTGACTGGTGTTCCTCATGTCAGGTCATGTCATGTCATGTAATATCCCATCATGTCAGGTCAGGCCATGCACATTTCATCATATTTGTTATAAATTTATAATATTATAATATTTACAATAACAATAATGTTTGTCGAGCAACCAAAAGTACAATTGGTTTTTAACAATGTCTCTCTAGGATAAATCTGACACACTGTTTTCTACTCCTTGCAGGATCAGCACTGGCAGACACTAATCTCACCATCGATGGAACTGGCTTCTCCACCCTTGCTGCCAACAACACTGTGATGATTGGGGGAGTCGCGTGTGAAGTCATCAGTGCCGGATCATCACAGCTCGTCTGCAGAGTAGGAAGAGGACAGGCTGGGACCTTCAACGTGTCCGTCACAGTTAAAGGGAAAGGTGAGTTCATAGTCCAGATATGTTTTTAATTATTATAAGCATTGTTTTTGTGATCCTTATAAAACATATTTAATCCATATGAAAATTAATTGTGTATGAAAAATCAAATGTGTATGAAAATTTGTATTGCTTTTTTCAGTAAGGTATTATTGAAGAAGTGCTGGCATTTTGATAGATATTTAGGATAATCTTTTTCACGTCTTCAAGACTGACAATTGACTGACTACCTGACAATTTTTTTGTAAGTTGTTTTATTTGAAGTACACATTGACTTCAGGTTATATATGGACAATGTAAAGAATTAAATATTACCAAAATAAAGCTTGGTAATTCGTGTATTCTAGGTCTGGCCAAGCACGTTGGTGGACCTCACAACTTTACATATGACATGCAAGTGACCGGGATTTCCCCCAGCAGTGGAAGTGTGGGAGGTGGGATATACTTAATATATACTGATAAATATTTAGAAATGTCTTAATTTCTGACATGGTATTCAAGAAAATATTTTTTTTGTAAAAAAAACTACTCGTAAACATTAGAATTCTTCTTAAATTTTCAAGTTAGTACATGTACATGTACTTTTCTTCACAGGACTTTATTTACTAGCTGAAGAACTATTAGCTGTTGCTTTCGTAGTCAAAATATCTCTGATTGTGCTTTTAAGCAATCAAATTTTTTGTCCTTGCCAGGTTGTACTTTGGTGACGATCAGTGGAACAGGATTCAGTGGCGCCAGTGTTGACGTAGGAGGACAGCCCTGTGATGTAGTAACCCAGAAATATGCAGAGATTATTTGTAGGACACCTGCTGCCGTTAGTATTTGTTGCTTTTTAAATTTGCCTGTCACCCTTTTGGTAAATAAATGGTATATGAAGAAAATTGAACAACTCTTTAATCCTTGTTAATTTTTAATTTTCATCCAGCTTTTTGATGATGGTAAGTTAAAAAAAATTAAGGACTTTGTAATCAATATCTGGTCAAATAAGTTTGTCATTGTGTCTTGTGTGAAGATTTTAGAAATGTATATCATTTCAAAAGATCAGACTTGATTCTAATTTTAAATTCTGAGGCATGCAGTTTTGACCTTTCATCAAAGGACCTCAAGTGGTCCTATGATTCATCTTTGTGTGGTTTATTGAGGATTTAAGGCCAAAACATGATTTCACAGATATGTTAGTATAAAGTTGCCTACGTTTCTCTAGAAACTATGCTGTTTCTTACCCACTTTGTAACTGTTGAAAATGTCAACTTTCGCTTTCACTTTGCAGGCTGCAGAGGGCAGTGCTGTGGTTGAAGTGACACAGGCATCAGGCAGTAGCGTCAGTCCTGCCAACTTCACCTACAATGCTTCAGTGACTCCTGTGATTTACAGTGCTGACTTCACTTCTACTCCATCTTGTGTAACTGGTATGTACAGCAAGTGTGTGTGCATGTTTGGGTGAGTTTGTGTGCATGTGTGAGTGAGTGTGCATGTGTGTGCATATCTGCATGTGTGTGTGTGTGTGCATGCATTTTTGTTTGTTTTGATGGATGCCTCATTTGCGCATTTAAAGGTAAAACAAGCTCTCACTTAGTATCAAATAAAAAAAGATATTCCACAGAGAAGTTTTGTGTTTAAGAAATTTATTCAAAATAAAATGCCCATAATGAAGAAACTTGTAGTTTAAAATAAGGATAATGAGTGATGATCCATGCTCCTTATAATAATAATAATAATAATAATAATAATAATAATAATAATAATATTTGTAAATGCACTTTTGTAGGCGGTGTAAATCTGACCATCAATGGCACAGGGTTCGGCAGTCAGGCCAGTGGATCAGGTGCCCTGATGATAGGGTCCCAGGAAGCCATCATCATCACCTATAACGACACCATGATTACAGCACGTTTGCCGCCATTGCCACCAGGGTCGCACACCATCAAGCTCCGGGTCGACCCAGCAGGATGCGCAGATCTCGTGTATGTTATACGAGTTAGAATATTTCTGAAGTGAAGATGGTTATAGATTTTCACACATTCTAGTGAAGGTTTTAACTAATGAACATAACTTGGGAGTTTATAATTGAAGTTGGAAAACAAGGTGAAGGTTCCCAGAGATATAAAGGTGCATTTTCATTTATATATATTTGAAATAACAGGTAACATAATTTTGTTAGTGACTATTTAACTTTATTTTTCCCTCTGACTGCAATGAAATGCAATGTAAAACATATGCATGTATTTTATGTAAGTAGATTGAATACAATTAAAGTGGTTTGTTAAATTTTCCCAAACATCAGGACCCACAGCATATCCACATATGACTGTCAATATGAAGTGGTCAGCCTCCATCCAGACCAGGGCTCCATTGTAGGAGGGACGCGGGTCATTGTGACCGGTCAAGGGTTCACTAGTGGCACCGTAGTCAGTTTTGATGGCACCGTTTGTGATATAAATAGCCGGAACACCACTCACATCTGCTGCACCATGAATCCTGGCACCAGGACACATGTGGTCAGGAAAGAGGGTGAGTTCTGTGGAGATATCTAGGGGTGGACAGAGGTCATCTTCTGGGTCTTCTTGAAGACGGTCAGACTTATTCAAGTTTACATTGACAAGCACCAATTTTTTTCTGTCAGAAGACGGTCAAAAAAATTTCCTTATTTCCATTTACATTTTTCATGAAATAGTACAATGAATAAAAATGTTCATTAGCTTGGTTGTTGGATAAACATGAAAATTTTCAGACACAAGCCTAAAATTTTCCGTACCGTTAGCTGATGAAGGCCTTCGACCAGGTTGGCCGTAAGCTAACGGTACGGAAAATTTTAGGCTTGTGTCTGAAAATTTTCATGTTTAGTACAATGAAGTTTTTATTAAAAATGAAGTTTAAGGGATGATACTTTCTTTTTATTGCTCTTCCATTTCTTTTTAGCTACATGTATGTATCATGTAGCTTTCATTTGTTGCATTAAATTTGGGATTTATTTGTATAGTTTTGTAATTTTGCAATTATAAATTGATTCAGTTGGACAAATTTGAAACAGAAATCACTGCTCCCTGGTACTATTTTCTTTATCAGTTGAAGTAATACGGGGCGTACCATCCTTTGCTTGGAAACCGAAGGCGCTGACAGTCAGAGTTGGCGAAAAGGTTCGATGGGAGTGGCAAACTGACCCCACTATCACCAGTTACAAATTCCGTGTAGAGCAGACGGCAGACGTCAATGCAGAATCTTACGATGGCACTGGCTTCAGAAGTGGTTCCACCTCCAGTGGAACAGGTCTGTTGGTTTTAATATTTCTTAAAATTGTAAATAGATTCTGGGGTAGCGCTAACACTCGCCAATTTAGCCAAATGCTAAAACTGCTGTAAACTGGCTAAACAAAAAGGGCTTAATTTGACTCATTTGAGCCATTTGGATTACAAATTGACAAAAAAGTGATGATTTGGCTAAGTGAAAAAAATTGCTATCGCTACCCCAGAGATTTATTTAAGAAAAAGAAATTTTATTTAAAATTGTTGATTGATATGCATGGTTGTCAGTTGTAATATTTTGATTTTATGTTCAAAATTTTTTCTTTTTGGTCTTTTAAAACCAAAAGAGAACAAAGCACCACTGTGTAATGAATCTTAAGAAAAGATAAGATATTACTTTAATGTCATATTTATACAATATTACGTATACATGTATATAATGAAAATAAATGTGAACTGCTGATAAAATAATACAATAAAAATAAAATCAGCTTTGCTCATACATGGATATGACTTAAAAAATATTATACCTAACCTGTATAAATATATAAATAGTAACTCATCCACTATTTCCCTATTTGCTTTCTGGTGTAGGTGTCTACGAGTTTCAGTTTGGTAAGACAGGCATTTACACCTATTGGAGTGGCTACGTGGACAGCCTGAACCAGACCATAATGAGGGGGTCTGTACATGTGGTGCCACCTACATCCTGGTCCGCTACTCTACGAGTATCAGATGGCTCGATTGAAGCCTCCTACGACACCAGTTCAGGTAAACTTGGAGAAAATCAATATATTGTTTACATGTATATTTCTTACATGTCGGCTGATTCTTCAGCTGAGCTTGAATAATAAAAAAAAATTGCTACGCTGCAATGAAACTGTAAAAGAGTACTGGTGTATTGAAAGTGTACAGTGTATATATAATCACCAATTAAGGCAAAGCATCCAAATTTGTACAGAGTTACATTTACCATTAATAATCTTATTTTTGAGTTTTTACTTTCTGGTTTTTAAGTCTTTACATGGCAATTTCATTTGTGATGGTAAAAAATAGAAGTTTATAACCTTACTCAACTCAAAAATGCACAGATTTGCATCCTGATAACTGTCAATTTGGGTATATATTAGTAGGGAAGAGCTTAGTGAGACAATTGAAAAAAATTCAATGAGAAAAATAACATTTTGCTGCATATATAGTCATTAAGTGAATATAATCATTTCATGGCAGGTGTGACTGTCAGTAGTGGGTGCCCTACAGAATCCTGCAGTGAAAACACCACAGCACTACACGCCACGTGTAACACCACCAAGCCAACATCAGACGACAACTCCACCTTCCACTTTGCATTCTGGGAATGCAGCACTGCTGTTGTTGACTCTATCACTCCTAATGATGGCACACCCGACACTGAATTTGTCATTCAGGGTCGTGGATTCAGTGATGAGGCTTGTGAAAACGAGGTCATGATCGGTCAGTACAGTTGCCATGTCACCTTCTCTAATGAATCCGTGATAACTTGTCGTTTGGCCAATGGGCAAGAGTTCCCGCCAGGCACGAGGACACCATTTACTGTGAATATTGCCAATAGAGGGAGCGCACTGCTGAAAATGAGGGAAATTGATGCCAGGACGTTCAAGATGTGCCCAAGAATTGACAACATTAGTCCCACCAATGGTTCCTTGGCAGGTGGAACTCGTCTCACCATAAATGGCGCTGGGTTCACAGGTAAATATGTTTATTGTATTTAGACACTGAGGAAAACTTGTCAACAATGATTATCCTAAATAGAAAATTTATCTTCAAATGTGAATAGTTTTCTGAATACTGCACAGTAATACAACTACGAGAATTCAGATGTCTATATTTGCTACATGTATGATATCAACACTGTGAAGCATCGTTTCACTTAAAAAATTACAATATACTGATACATTTGATCATAATAGGGTGACACATGCTATATTTGTACATTCTTGATTTTAGATACCTCCATGGTGCGTCTGCTGGGCGGTGGTTCATGTGACATCACACATTTGAATTACACCAGGATCGTGTGCGAGACTGGCCCAAGCCAAGCCGCTACCAGTGCTGTCATGGTGGAGGTGAACGGCTGCCTCTCAGCGTGCTCTCCAACCAACTGTACCTTTCAGTTCTCCTCAGCTGAAACACCAACGCTTGACTCTGTGACACCTTCTAGTATACAGTATGCTATTGGTTTTATTTGTTTCGGCTACATTGGATATATAGAACTATGTATATGTATAAAGAGAGAGATAAATATGCATTGATTATGATTAGTTTAATAGTACCGGTATATTAGTTAAATGACAACATTTAATAAATTGTTGAGTCACTATATAAGAAGCTATTTATACTACATGTTTTTTAAATTTATTTTCAGAAGAATCTTTTCTTTAAAAGTAAGATCATCTCATTATTAATATTTTTATCAATTAGACCATAATTTAAATTTAACCTTTTTAACAGGGGAGATCATGCAACTCTGACCTTAGCTGGGACGAAATTTGGCACAGATCCTGCTGCTGTTGACATCACAGTGGGCGGAGTAGGTTGTCTGGTGGACACCATTACTGACACAAATATTGTGTGTAACATCACATGCGTTCCTGCAGGCCAGCAACCATTGGTGATGAGAATTAATCCGCAAGGTAAGATATCCTCTCTTTTTTTATGTCTGTCTTTTTTGTTTATTCTCTTTAACTGTCAAACTTTTATTGTCATTTTGATTGTTTTTGCACATGCTCTCTCTCTCTCTCTCTCTCTCTCTGTGTGTTCATAAGTTCATTTATTCACCATAGCAATCTGTTTGCCTGTCCTTTTGTTTGTCAATTCAGATGAAGAATTTGATTGCATTCACTAGAAGAAGTCCATAAAATATTTCAGGCTCCCCATCAACAAGTATCACACATGTGAAAAGTGATTATGTGGTATCTCACAGCTCCATCAGCGCTGGTAGTCTGAAAGGTGGAACTGAGGTTTGTAAAAATTTTATTAACAATAAACAGGTTTGCCAACATGCTCTCTCTCTCTCTCTCTCTCTCTCATTAATAGAGAAACTTGATAGAAAATCAATTAAAAAGTAATAATTCCTGACATCCTTGGGCTGAATTGTCTTCTTTTAAGAAAGCAATAAGAAGGTAACAAGAAAATCTAAATAATAACAGAACAAATTCATAAACCCTTTTAAATCCAGGCAAACTAAATAAGGTCATTAAAAGAATGACAGAACAAATTCATAAACCCTTTTAAATCCAGGCAAACTAAATAAGGTCATTAAAAAAAGTACAGCTTATGGTCCATGGTTTTTAATGGCTGCCACCAAAATTTGACAATCAATTTGACTTCAGGTAACCACCACAGGAAGTGGATTCTCAGACGACATCAGCATCACATCAGCGGGTAGTGGTGCATCCTGGGAAGTGGTCTCCAGCACCTGTACCTCCATCACAGCGCGCAGTCCACCTCCTGCCAGTGCACAGGATCATTCCGTCGACGTGCAGATCCAGAATAACCCCAGCAGACGGCGAAGAGCGACTGAAGTTCGCCCCAAGAGGGCTGTTGGTTCCACAGATTTCCCAACATTCCAGTTTTCTTACTCCCAGCAGGCTACTCCTGTGGTTGAAAGCATTAGTCCTAGTTCTGGGATAGGGGGCACCAACCTCACAATTACAGGACAAAGTAAGAAGATGGGGGCATCTCAAAAATCCAAATGTTCATTGGTCTGAAGATTCATTGGTCCAAAAAAATTGTTTGGATGAGCCTCTGATGAACTTTACTTTATTGCCAGTAAACTATATACTTTATTCATGCATTAAATCAGACTATCAAACTTTTGGACCAATGAACCTTTGGACTATTGCTATGACCCCTTTATCTCATACAATGATGAATCAATTTAGTATATACACATATATTTTGATATATCCAGCTTGGAAAATAGGAAATGAGTATTTAATCTCACGCTAGAATACACATGCAGTGAATGGTACATACTCTTGCATTTTATCTACAAGTACCCGGTATATTCCAAAGAGGTCAGCAAGCAACTGAACATATTGTGACTGTTGTCATGACAATATCAAAGCTAAACTTGGCTCAATATAATGAATATCTTTTTGTCATTTTGTTTAATATTTAAATATGTAAAGCTTATAAGTGTCCTTGCTCATTTACAATATTTCACTTTCAGAAATCAGTCAAAGCATTCTTATCACTAGTGTAATAATAATATTATTCATAAATGAAATGGATCAGAAATCAGTCAAAGCATTCTTATCACTAGAGTAATAATAATATTATTCATAAATGAAATGGCTTCTTTTTACAGGGCTTGGGTCTCCAACAAGTGTGACAATTGATAGTGTACCTTGCCTCTTGTTGGACTCGAATGCCACCACAGTGCTCTGTATGGCGGGAGACCATCCTGCTGGTGACTACGTACCTGAGGTGATTACTGTGCTGGGTCGCGCAGACAACACCCAGCGCTTCCTGTACACGCTTCAAGTGGACAGTGTGGCACCAACCAATGGTATGGAAGAAATTCACAGCAACCGATAATTAAATAAATAAATAAATAAATAAATTAATTAATAGATAAATAAATAATGGAATAGATAGAAAAATAAAAAAGGATTTGATAGATATATAGATGGATAAAAATTAATGGCTAAATAAATGAATAAAAAGATAAATCAAGTAGGGAAAAGATAGATAGATGAAAAATAAATAGAAAAATAAATAAATAAATAAGTAAAATTATAAATAGATAAATGAATAATAAATAGATAAAAATAAATAGCTAAATAAATAAGTAAATGAAATAATTAACAAGTAGATAAATGAATAAGGGAAGAGATGGATAAATAAAAAAGGATATAGATAAAAAATAAATTAATAGATTAATAAAAGAATAAATAAGGGAATAAATAGATAAATATAAACATTAATAAGGGAATAAATAGGTAAATATAAAAATAGATTAGGGAATATATTAATAAGTGAATGAAAATAAAAAACAAAATAAGTAGACTACTGAATAATTAGATGGATAATTTAATGATCATATAAGCATGGTTATCATTAAAAGATAAATGATACATTGTTTGAGTAGCAATTTTATATTTATGCAACATATATATTTGCCTTACCAGGGAGCTTTGGTGGAGGCCAAACCCTCACAGTGCAAGGCATAGGATTCTCCAGTAGCAGCACCAGAATTACTGTTTGTGGCAAACCCTGTAGTCCTGTAACAGCCTCGGCCAACAGTGCAGCCTGCCCAGTGCCAGCCTCTGACCAAGGTAGGGGTTGTGTAATGCAGGAGTCTTTTTTTTATATGCAACATTTTGGTCTTTGTTTATTATGCAACATTTTGCAGTTTTCTTCTATGATAATGATGATGTTAATGGTAATCTGTATTTATCTGAAGTCTATAAAATATTCAGTAGACTTTACACCATAAAATGATGTTTGAAAAATTACATGGGGTTACAAATACACTGAAGCTGAATAAGGGTTCAAAAATATCACTGAAGTTAATGTTAAATGTTTTTTTTGCATATTTATTTTTCTTCTTTCTGTTTATAGCAAAACTGTTTCTTAAACTTAACACATTATGGAATCTACCAATATCATACAAAATAATGCATGATTTTATCATGTTTTCCAGTCATTACTTACTATTGTCCTTATCGATCACTATCAATAGAAAAGTATGAATGAGTGTTCTTTGTTTCAGACGCCAGCGATGGCGATACCACCTGTAATGTAGAGGTTTACGTCAACAATGTTGGTGTGAACGCCTCCCAGAGCTTTGTTTATGTTGCTGCTTCAACTCCAAACATTACTTCAGTGAGCCCGTCCCGGGGCGGGACAGGAGGCGGGACAATGTTGACCATTCAGGGAACCAGATTTGGGTATAAGTCATATATTGCCTCTATGTATACTTGTGTACCTGTCCAATATAAAAAATATTGTACACCAGCATTGTTTCAATACAGGGTGTTTCCAAATAGATGCAACCCATTAATGTGATAATAATCAATTTATTACTGAGACAAGAAACTGAGATAAGATCACGTTCATGAAGCTGATATGCTATCAGTTAGAAAAAAAATATTGATTTGACATCTCTAGCTCGAAGTATATGCATTTTTTTATCACACATGTTCCAAATAAACATGCTCTCTCCCTCCTCTCCCTCCCTCTCTCTCTCTCTCTCTCTCTCTCTCTCTCTCACTCTCTCTCCAAGTCACTGTCTAATGACACATTTTTATAACAAATCTACTTCCATCTTTCATGACAGGGATTCTGAGTCCAACAACGTTGTGACAATAGACGGCGTAGCATGTGACATTCAGAGTGCCAATGCTACATACATCGTGTGCAGAACTGGGCAGCATTCCGGCACAATAGAGACCAAAGTGAGACTGGAGGTGGACGATGTTGGTATTGCTCTACAGGTTAGTATATTGGTACTAGTTTAATGAGAATGTGAACAGGGGCATGTGTGTTACAGCACGTGTGTTAACATTCTCATGAGTAGGCATGCATGTATGAGTGTGTTTGTGATTAAAAATAAATTGATTAGACTGGCATGATATAAGGCACCGAATATAATACTCAATATTGTGTCCATCTGTCTATCTGTCTGGCCAGGGGCGATTCCAGAGGTATTCTCTGACTGTCTTCCAAATCAAATTATCTTTGTTGATCCATCCTCCATTTTGACTGTCTTTTGACAGAAAAAATTAGATGCCTCTCAATGTAATCTTAAAAATTCTGACCGTCTTCTGGAAGACCCAGAAGACAGTCTCCATCTGCCCCTGCTGTCCACCTGTATATACTAACCTTTATTCCTATCTGCCTCTCAGGACAACGCCCAGTTCCACTACATTGACCTCTGGTCATCTATCTTCACCTGGGGAGGTGGTCCACTGCCTAGGGCCGGAGACTTTGTGGTCATCAGTGCTGGACAGACCATCCTGCTGGACATGGATACACCTGTGCTTGCCGTTCTGCTTATTAATGGTTTGTTGTTGGAGATTTCTAATACCATGAAGGTTTTAGCTGTATTTTACATTAAAATGTGGATGTACTACTAGGTTTTAATGTTATAATAATTTCAAGTAGTCTTTCATGATTTTATTAGGTATGTGTTGTTAAGGTCAATTCATTGCTACTAGTAAATCTGGTGGATGTAACTTATACTATTTTGACATCCCTTTCTTTTATTATTAATTGTTTTATTTCAACATGGTAAGAATTAATAATTTGGTTAAATACGTAATTTTTGAAATAACATATAATCAAACTATTTCTTCAAAAATGTAATTTCAAACATGCTGCTGAAGCAAATTTAGGGATGACAGTAATGCATATATATGTTATTCAAAATTTTTCAGGTGGAAAACTTGTGTTTGATAAGCAAGATCTTCAGCTGAATGCAGAAAAGATTCTTATAACCGCAAATGGCAGCCTTGAGGTAAGAGTTTAAAAACTTTCTTTTAAAACATGTATTGGCATTTACAGTAACACAATGAGTGTTAAAACATTTATATAGTAGCAACATTTGTTTCATTTTTCTCAGAAACTTGTAATTTTTTATAACTTTGGATGCAATTGTCCTTGAATTATGATTAGCATATTCTGGTATATATCAGGTGGGTACAGAGGCAGAACCCTTCCAACATAATGCCGTTATTATGTTGCATGGTGACCTGATTGATAAAGAACTGCCGATTTATGGAACCAAAATGATTGCAGTCAGGAATGGAACATTGGACCTACACGGTAATTACATCAGCTTATTCGATCAGAAAGTGGTGCTGATTAGAATATACATTTAGTATACCTCTGCCCATTTTTGAAAAATATTGTTTTTATATTTATTTTAGCCTTTGAATAGCTCTAGTCGTGCTTTAGTTTGATTTGTTATTAAATGAGAAGGACTGGATATATTTTGCCTTAAAATTCTTATTTACTTTTGGCTGGTGCTGACTGTTTATTTATATCACACAGCACCAAACAGAGAAAGCTCAAGATCAAAGTAGTTGATTAGGTAATCAAAATCACAGTGATTATGATTATGATCACATACTCGCTCATGTGACCCAAACCAATCCTTATTTTGTTTAACATAAACATTCCAGGTATACCTATTCCAACAACATGGACTCGCCTGAATGAGACAGCCGCGGCAAATGCAGCATGTCTTACCTTGCAGCTCCCAGTCACATGGCAGCCAGGTGACGAGATTGTCATAGCAACCACAGGACTGAGGCACAGCCAGGGAGAGTCAGAGAAGCGGACAATTCACAATGTCAGTAGTGATGGCCATGTGGTTTGCCTAACACAGCCCCTGACACATGAACACTTGGGTGAGTGCAAGATCATATGATTGTCAACACTGTATTCAGTTTAAAATGACTGTTGTTATATTATTGTCAATGACAGTCAAATTATGTATGAAATGATAAAAATAATAATAACAAAATAATTGAAAAATTATGAAAACAAAACAGAAGTCGTAGTCAAAACCACCTGGAAATGTCAGCAAACTTGGTTTTGTTACTACCTGTAAACCATATGGTGTTAACCATGTGTAAAATGGATTTCTATGTGTAGGTATATCAAGGACTGTAGGTGGTGTGACTGTGGAGCTACGAGCAGAAGTGGGAGTGCTGACGCGCAATGTCAAGGTGAAGGGATACCGTCCAATGCAGTGGGCAGATGAAATTGAAGCATGCGCCGCAGGGTTTAACACTGGTAAGCATCTACTTAGACAATTAAAATGATATGGTATTACATTATTGTTTATTAATTTTTCATTCAAGTAAGTGATATTGTTCAATATCACATATTTCAAAATAAATTTCATTATTGATTATTTGTCATAACAAATCTGATGGAAGTAGAAAAAATTAGAAGAATTTTAGAAGAACAAGCAAAACATAAGATGATCAAAAATTGGTTTCAAAATTGAAAATTATACAATTTCCCTCAACTTCTAAAATATTACAGGTGAGTTTGTGATGCAGACGTGCTTCCAAGGCCGGTTTGGTGCAGAAACTGGCTCAGACCAATTCGGTGCCCACACAATCATCAGTCCAGCAGAGGGCGACAGTAACAGTGCCAGGGCCAGGCTCTCCTATGTGGAGTACAACTATGTTGGACAGGCATTCAGACTAGGGCGCTATCCCGTCCACTTTCACCTGCTCGGAAACACCTCCTATGAGAACAACTATGTGCGTGGCTGTGGCTTCCATGAAACCTTCAACAGAGCAGTCAATACACATGGCACCCACCATGTGCTTTTGGAGCATAACGTAGCCTTCAATGTCATGGGCGGTGCCTTTTTCCTGGAGGATGGCATAGAAACAGGGAACATCATGCAGTACAACCTGGCCATCTTTGTCAAAGCCAGCACCAGTTTGTTGAATGATGACATCACCCCTGCAGCGTACTGGATCACCAACCCTAACAATACTGTACGTCACAATGTTGCTGCAGGAGGAACCCATTTCGGTATTTGGTACAGAATGCACGAGAATCCAGATGGTCCATCTTATGATCCCAATGTGTTTCCACGCCTAGCACCACTGGGAGAGTTTACTAACAACACTGTGCACTCTCAAGGCTGGTTTGGTATATGGATATTTCAGGTAAATATATATTTTATCCTTTTATTCCATCTCATTTATATCTTCATAAACTGCAAGTCCTATTGGGCCAGTTGGTTGCCTTGGAAATTCAGACATCCATTTTTCCAACTAAATTGGAAATCCATTCTTATAGTGGCTTTTTTTGCTTTAAGTGGTTGGTCCCTGGATGTAAGGCCACGGAGCCATTTTTTCTTACCATTTGTACTGTCCAAATGGCCTTGTAGAAAGGGTGTCCTGTCTAATACCATTATATATGGCATTTTAATGGTTACATAGCACTGCTCATTACTCAGCTACTCAGTATATTGAATCACCATATACACATCTCCTAAAACAGAATGAATGTCAGACACTCTGATTTAATCTGATTTACTTTTATTTAAAAAAGAAAAGATAAAAAGAAAAAAAACAAACAAATTTTTTCTTCCAGGATTACTACCCGAATGAACAAGCAGTTTTCGAAGGTTTGACAGCCTGGCATTGTGAGAAAGGTGCGGAGTGGGTCATGGCAGGATCGTTAAAATTTAACAACTTTGTGATGTACGACAACGAGAAAGCTGGCATCGAAATGAAGAGTGTTGTGAGAACAAGCCATGTATTCAGCGACCAAGGCCCCATGATTAGCAACTCCAAAATAATTGGAAAGTCCGATTCCAGCGAGGCCTGCACACATTTTGGGATAATCCTACCTTTTGCTCAAGGTCTTAAAGTAGTTGATACTGTGGGAATCAATTTTGCTGATGCCACCTGTAACTTCATGAGGGTGACAAGCATAGATGGCACGTGTGGTAATTTGTGTGGTGGATGGGAACACAGATTCTCCGGAATGTCATTTGTCAATACTCCCAATAAAATGTCCTGGCGATGGACACATGAAGGCGTCCTCAATGATACAGATGGAACACTAACAGAGACAGGTGATATACTCTACTAATTACTTCATTAATTATTCTGTCAGTTAATTAGAAATTTATGAATCATATTAATTAATTATATTGATATTGATTAATTAATGCTTTTGTTCATCTGACTTTTACGTAATCTAGTAATTTTAAATTATTTAAGCTCTCTTGCTACATGTATCTCCTTCATAGCTCTTTTTTTAAACAATTCCAAGGAAAGAGGCAAAGTAGGTATGAAGGACAGTACGTACCCTTTTTAAAACACTCGGATATGTACCTTGTATTTCATCTGGTCTTTTTTTTACTAGGACATCATATAATGAAATAATTTAATATTATTTCAGGCAATGCAGCGGTTGTGGTAGCCCATAACCCCACTTTGGATTCATCCAAATGTTCTCAGTCAGCAGAATTCAGTAAAGGGAAAGTGAATGGATACATCTGTCCCCAGACAGAAAGGTAACTTCAATCCAAAAACTTGCATCATATTACATTTTTTTCTCTCAGTTGTGACTATTTATAGTCCATTTAGGGTATATCAACAACATTTCTTGTGGATGAGTCCAATTACTTTACAAAGTCTATTTAATGCCATTCGGTATTTGACTTAAGCAGTGTAATGTAATCCCAAAATATAGATGTTTTATAAAACACTTAGAACAAGAAAGAACTGTATTGCCACCTGTAGTTCACAAGTCCCTCTCTGCTTATGTTCTCATTCTGTTGCAATCTTCCCAGTGAGATATTCACGTGTATTTTTTTTCAACAGGTTTGTCAGATTTGCCTTCAATCACATCCATCCGTCGTCCCTGAACTACAAAGATGTCAACTTTACCAACAGCCACGGCACCACCTTAAGTCCCTGGGCTTTCAAGAGGCTGACCCACAAAGAGGGCTGGATGGTGAACCTGCAGTGCGGGAAACAGTACATGCAAAGCTTCGTGAACGCACAGCAACTGGTCAACATATCCTATGATGGAATGATGTATGGTTTAGAGGTGAGGCAGCTTGGAGACAGTTTCTCACTGAATTCTAACTGCCTCCATTAATTGTGTTTTGGCTATTGAAAACAATTTGTTTTGTTGATTATGTCTGAAAAAATTCTCGTAATGAATATGTTTTTTTGCTGGTTCCAGGAGGATTGCAAGATAATTATTTGTCAGAATATGGACCAGAAGCCAGACAGAGTGGTTGTACTTGGGACTGAGGTCACATTGGACAGTTCACATTCACAGCCACTGAGTTTTTCAACCAACACTAATGGTGACATCTCCTATAATGATGCTGACAACATACTTTGTTACATGGGTAAGTTGTGTACTTGTGGTTCTGATAATAGTGACACTGGTGTATCCTTCAGACTACCACAATTTTGATTCTTTGAAAGGAAATAATAGCAGTGCAATTCAATGCCTGTACAGCATAACACAGTGAATGCACTGCACAACACAATTACTGTACGAAGCACAGCACTCTTTACTGCATAGCACAGCTCAACAACTGCACACAGCACAACATTATGGCTGCACAACACAACACAATGACTGCACAACACAACACAATGACTGCAAAGCTGGAAGAAATTTCAGCAAAACCCAGTAAAGTTTAGTGTGACTGTTCACAATTCATCCCAGCATTAGTCCAAACATATTTTTTAAAAAGTTTCAACTTAAAAGTACACATAATAACATATGAATTAGAAGCAAAGTTTTATAACTCCAAAACATGTTATTATTATTATTCCAGTGTCTGGACTTCCTAACCAGCCAGCAGGCTCAATGAGAGAAGCAGGTCGAAGTAACCAGGATCTCCGGTTCAGTGCCTATCAGTGCTTTTACGCTGGTTGCCAAGCTCCTGCTGATCCCAACGATCTGGCTCCAGTTGACCAGCGTCCATCTACAGCTAAGATGTGGTCAGCAACTACAACCTGGGCAGGCACCATTGATGAAAATGGCGTCCAGTACCAAGTGTCGTCCGGAGCAGCCACTGGGTCTGGGCCTCTGCCATCAGATGGAAATGTCAGGATTGTAGATGGTAAAGAATAAAACAATTAGTATTTTAGATATTTTGAGCTGGGGGGCGGGTTCAAGATTCAAGCAAAATGCCTTTATTGGCCAGGAAAAGGTCTGCCCTGGCCAAAATTGATCTTGGATTTATGGTAAAAGGGCCACTTGTTCAGAAAAAGACCTCCCAAAAATCACTGTCTACAGGCCTCTATGACCATCTCATCTCTTTTCATGCAGCTGATTATGATTTTATGAAATGATGATTATATAAGATTATAAAGATATAGAAATCATGAAAAAGATATATATATATATATATATATATATATATATATATATATATATATATATATATATATATATATATATATATATATATATATATATATAACATACCTGTATGACTCAGTGGTCACATTGGTTGTAAAACAGCTATTGATACAAAATTTATAATTACAAATGAAGCCTGGATGATAATTATCCTGAGATAGCATATCAATCCTACCATGCTCTTCTTTGCAGGTGATTGGGTGGTAGCTGACACCACTCTCCCCAGATTTGACAAGCTTGAACTCCATGGTGTGTTGGAACTGGAGTTTGCCCAAATGCCTAACAGCAATAACTACTACGACTTTGTCATCAATGCAGAGATCATTTACATCAGGGTAGGTTTATTAGAGTATTTACTAATGTACTACTCCCAAAGTCCATGCCCCACATTTTTCCAGACCATTTCATCAATTAATTAATTTATTTACTTGTTTATTTTCGTTGCAGTTTTGATTTGCAGGCAAATCCATATAAGGATTTCTAAATTATTTTTTTTTTATTTTTGATCAATCAGTTATGTTCAGCTTTAAGTAATTGTTGCATGGCAATAAGTACGATTGGTAATGCATAATTATAATGCCACAATAGAATTTAAAGAACATTTTCAAGAATGCTGGGGTTATATCTGCTGCTTAATCAATCAATCTATTCATTTCAGTTCCCTGGTCGCCTGATAGTTGGTTGGCCAAACAACGTGTTCAAAGGCACGGCAGAAATCATCCTTCGGGGATCACATGCAACACCAGTGTACGTGCCTGACGGGAGCTCACCCAACGTGGGTTCAAAGGCCATTGGTCAGTATTTTATTTTTTTCATTTTCATTTTTGCATGCTGGGAGGGAGTTATTAGCCTGAGAAATATCAGCTTATATCAGATATTCCTATATGGCAAAGACATGCCCATAAATTTTCGAACCCAAAGCATTCTGAATTGCCTGTCTTAAATTGATGCATTTCCAGTTGCATATTTATATATCTTTAATTGATTTGAGTTATATTCTATTATCACAGCTGTATTTGGAGGGCTTGATCTTCATGGAGATGATAAGGGGGTGTCATGGACGCAGCTTTCCCAGACGGCTGACGCTGGAGCTAATTCCCTCACGCTGAAGGATGACGTTAGCCAGTGGGAGGTTGGCGATGAGATTGTGGTGACACCTACTGGATACAAACCTTATGAGACTGAGATCTTCAAACTGACATCTGTGTCTGGGAATACTATTGGGTTGAACTCCACTTTGGCTCATAAACATTTAGGTAAGGATGTGGTTTATATAATGCTTGTTATTGGTGTACATGTACAATGTTGAAGTCTTTCTCCAGTAGGCCTAAATATATTCATTTTCTAAATAGATATACATGCATAAATTTCAGGCCTACCCAACTACCAGACTCGGCACTGAATGATCCTGAATTCACCGGTAAATCGGACCACACTACCCGTTTTCAAGGTGTGTATCAGTACGCATTTCACAGTATCAGACGCAACACCGCTCTTGCCTAGTACTCGATGTGATAGTGACGATTCTCAGTGGGGTTGAAAAGCATTGCATTCACCACTCAAAATTTGTTCAGTGTATGATACTGTGTAATGCGTACTGACTCACACCTTGAAAACGGGTAGTGTGGTCTGATCTACTGGTGAATTCAGGATCATTCGGTGCCGAGTCTGGTAGTTGGGTAGGCCTGAATTTCCCCTAAAACATTGATACATGTATGTCAGTGTTACCCGAATAAGATTTGAAAGTAATACTAATGAAAAGGAATTACATTGCTGAAAAAACATAAGTTAACTAATTGAGTATTTTAATATTTTAGTATTTTTAAAAAGTTACAGTTACATGATCTTTTTCTTTTTTGTTAATCTATGTTATTGTGATTTAGCTATTAAACTAGCACATATTTATCAAGCTGACTTTTATTTTAACATATTTTCCCCCTCTTTTTATGAATAAGAAATAAAGAAAAGATTCTATTGAATTATACAGGAGTGGAAGGCACCATCAACAACATTCCCTACGGTATAGTAGCTGAGGTGGGACGCCTCACCCGAAATATCAAGGTTAGGGGAGAGGAGTACAGTGGTCTAATTACAGAGGCGTTTGGAGCTCGTATCTTGGTATCAACTCAGTCCACAGTGGACTCTCAAAATAACGTCAACGTTTACAGAGGTTAGTACTTGGGTTGAACTTTTTGGTGACAGGTTAATTGCTATTCATGGTGTATATATGATAGCACACAAAATGTGTGCATTTGGTAAATTATATTTTTCATCATGGATAATTTTGGCCTGTCTTACAATATTATAAAAACAAAATGCTAATTCAGAATAATTTTTTATATGAAGTTATTATAGTAGTGAGGTGTTTATTCTTATACCAGAAGGAAGATATTGTAGATATGTGCAAACTGCCATTGAGTTTATATCAATAGCACAACACCCAAATGATATGCCTTTTTTTTTTTAATATGATAATCACAATATATTGGATAAATAGGTCTTAGCCAAATTGGCATCTAAAATATTTAGTGAAAATTAGCTTACACTCGTATAGTGCTTTACAGAGGTAAACTTCCAAAAATTGATACCTCATCATTAAAGAGCAATCATACAGAAAATTTCAATTTAAAATTTTGTTCATTTTTGATTAAAATTTTGTTTTGGTCATAACCCCAGGTCAGTTTTGGCAAAAAGGCATAGATAATTATGAGATGCCAACTATGAATCGATATTTCCTCACTTACCAAAAACCTTATCTTTTCCCAGGTTTTGCTCGTTTCACCAATGTTGAGTTCATCCACACGGGGCAGGAGGGCTACAACGAAGACTACGACCCACGTTTCAGCTTGGCATACATGTCGGCTCAGACTGTTAATGACAAGAAACCATCGTATGTGAAGAAATGTGCCTTCCACCATGGTTTAGCCACAGCCATTGGTGTGTTTGCAACAAATAGTGAAAACCCAAGACTTCATGCGCTGGAGATTGAGGACAATGTGGTACATCACACTATAGGACCTGGTATGTAGTAGGGGAGCTGGAGGGTTTGGGCTTTAGTTTGTTGTTTTCTTTTACTGATCCCTAATTAAAAAAAAAAGAACATACCAGAATAATTTTATTGTCAGTTTGTGTCTGTGTTTACTGCAAAAGAGGCATTTGTTATTTGATAGCAAACCACAGGATAAGCATCCAGCATGAAAATCAGCCCTTGTGTATCTCTGTGTCATACTTGTGTCATACATCCCTTGAAAAATTGATGTTTGTCAAATTAGCACTACCTAAGATACTAAGTTATTTCTACAGGAATCCGTATCGCAGGAACAAATCACACTCTTAAGCGTAATTTGGTCACCATGACAGTTTGGCCTGGAGGCTATCTGAATAGAGCGGAGCTTGCCAACTTTGATTTTACCCCTGGTATTATGGTGTCGGAGTCCATCCGTCTCACAATGAAGGATAACATCGTCGCAGGATCGGAAAGAGTCGGATATCAAATCAGTGGTATGTATATTAACTATTTCATGACTTTTTTTCCAATTACTCTTCATTGACTTACTCCTCTTTGTTATTTAGATATTTTATTTTAATTTTTTGACATTTCTACTTTTTCGTTCAGGATGTTATATGTTTTAGACAGCCAAATGAGTTTCACATGGAAAATTGTTTTTCTGTCTCATATCCCCAGCAGACAAACAACATTGATTCACCATTGTATCAACGTTAATTTTGGTGGATCACTGTTGAATCAACGTAGAATCAATGTCGTTTGCCTGCTGTGTCCATAGTAAATGATAAAAAATAAACTGTAATTTTCATCTATATGGAGACTTGATCACACAGCTGTATCAACAAAAAACAGAAAAACATGCATATACCAGAAAAACATGCATATACCAATTACTTTCATTAATATTCTCCATCATAACTATTTACAGATCCATGCAGTGACATTTATTTCTCCTTTTTATGTACAGACACAGATGTGTCTGTACATATAGCCATCATCTGCGTCTGCCGTCGCCGTCGTCGCCGTCGTCGCCGTGCACTTTTACCGATAACACGATAAGTGGAAAACCATTTTACCTTTTGACTTGAAACTTGCAGAACTGATGAATATTCATAATACGCAGGTCAAGTTCGAAAATCAGCATGATCGGGTCACTTTTAGGGAATTTATGCTGTTTTTTCACTTTTTTCAGCATATATGCAGCACTGATAACACGATAAGT